GGGGAGGCCGGGGGGAGGACAATAGGGAAAAAAGGAGACATATGTACTACTATTTGTAATACTTTAAACAATAAAATAAAACTTAAAAAAAACTTAAAAAAAAAACAGCCAATGTCTAGAAAATGACATAACATTGTCCAACCTTACACACTGGCATCATATACTTTAACTTATAAAAAAAAATCTCAAAGCCAAGTTGGGGATTTGGTAATTGCCCAGAGTCTCTGATGGGTTCAGAACCTCAATTCTCCCTTCTTCACCAGCTTCCTGCCATGTAAGATGAACAGAGACTTTGCTCCCATCGATCTCCTATCTCTCCTTCCATTCTTCCATTTTCTCCCTGTCCTTTCTGGTTCTCAGCCCTGTGGTCCCCCTTTCTCTGGCTGGTTGTCAGCTCTGCTCCCCATGGCTCCCTCCTGGTTATTATAGGTTCTATTTTACAGCGGAAGAGAAAAGAAAGCGAGTCTGCCCTCGGGCTGTGGAACCAGTGAGACAGATCTTTTGCTGCCTCGGCTCATTATTCCGCTGGATTGTGCCGGAGTCTGCACCCTGCTCATAGTCTCACCTGGGGTGTGGTCCCAGCTGATGGAAGAGAGGAGAATGAGCCCAAACCAAAAGCACTGTGACACCTACCCCAGGTCTGGCACAAGGTACAATGGAAAATGGTGAATGAAAACTCAGCCTGGTGGGAAGCCAGGTGTATATACAAATACTTTTTTATATACAAATAATTTTAACCTGCTTTGGAATTGATCAGAGCAGCAATATTTCCATCACAATCAAATCAAGTATCTGGTAAGAGAAGTAACTGCTACTCAGCCTTGCAGGTTTCAGACAAGTTTTTAACACGAGGATATGACATTTGGATTGACTCTCACCTGTAGCCCTCACCATAAGCCACTGGAGCATCCATGCCCCAACTCTCTCATTACATGACTGACAACTATTCAAGTGAGTACTAACTACAGAAATCTTCATGTTCACACTTTCTGTGATGAAAAACTCTACATTCACTATCAGAGCTCCCACTTCGTTTACTTCCTGGAGTTAATCACCTTCATGTATGTATGTATTTGATCATTTTTATATGCATTCATTTGTGGCCTGTTTTCCCATCTTGAATGTAAACTCCATGAGGGCAGGAATCTGAGTCTTGTTCAGTATTATATTCCCGGAGCCCATCTCATATCTAGTGCATAGCAGCTGCTCAATAAATAGTTATTGACTAAGTGGAGTATAACATAGTTACTTGTTTGTATGTCTATCATCTCCATTAGATGAGGAACCTCTAAAGCAGTGGTTCTCAACCTTCTGGCCCTTTAAATACAGTTCCTCATGTTGTGACCCAACCATAAAATTATTTTCGTTGCTACTTCATAACTGTAATGTTGCTACTGTTATGAATCGTAATGTAAATATCTGATATGCAGGATGGTCTTAGGCGACCCCTGTGAAAGGGTCGTTCGACCGCCAAAGGGGTCGTGACCCACAGGTTGAGAACCGCTGCTCTAAAGCAAGTTTGACATGCTTGCTCTAAGGAACCGTGTTGAATTAATTTTGCAATTTCGTTTTTATATGGCAATTCCTCCTGCTCTCTCACACTTGGTAGATGCTAACAAGCTCTTTTTAAAAATTATTTATTGTTTGAAGTATTACATGTCTCCTTTTCCCCCGTTGCCCTCTCCCCAGCCACTCCCACCTCCCAACACATGCCCTCACCCCCCTAGGCTGTGTCCATTGGTTATGCTTATGTACATGCATACAAGTCTTTTGGTTGATCTCCTACCCCCACCCCCCACCCCTCGCCACAAGCTCTTTTTTGCATAAATATAAGACAGTTATATATCCTTCCTTTTATCCATTGCTTTTGTTGGAAGAAAGATAAAGAAATTCTAGGCTGAAAAAATTTTTTAATTTAAAAAGTGTAAGAAAAAACTAAGTTTGTGCTACTTCAAGTTGAGCAAAATAGTTCTTCCATCTCACAGGAAGAAAAACAAAGAAAACCTCTGGGACCACTCTGTACATCTATTTTGGGACAAAATAGTGACAAGATGAAATATTCAAGAATGTGACCACTAAATAGAAACCCTGTTGAAAAATGTTTTGATTTTTCTCCTTGGGCACATCTTGGTAGGTTAGCAGTTTACCAGGGACGAGAGATGACATTCCCTCCCTCCCAATATTCAGTACATTCCCTTTGCCTCAAACGTGGCAAACATCTTGAATTTATTCCTTGATGTCCCAAATTCAAGATGATTTTGTGAGGTCCTTTGAGTGGCAAGGCTACTAGCCTGAAGCTGACTCAGAACCAATAGAAGTATAAACTTTTAAGATTAAGCACTGTCTGATTTAAATGTATTTCTTTACAGTAATTCTTATAGCAAGTACCCGATGCAGCACAATTCTTGAACTAGTGGGGTCTGAAGTTATGAGATGAACTAAACTTGATATAGAAAAACAGTCAATATCCACAGTGCAAGTTTTGTAAAGCATTAGGGGAGCACATGAAAAAAGCACAAGTCATATCAGGATAATGCCAAGTTCTATCACGACAGATCTAGAGAAAAGATTGGCTACTGGAGATGACAGAGTCAGATTAAAAGGGAGCACATGAAAAAAGCACAAGTCATATCAGGATAATGCCAAGTTCTAACACGACAGGTTTAGAGAAAAGATTGGCTATTGGAGATGATGGAGTCAGATTAAAAAATTCCGCTCTCTTCCTTCCTCTCTGTAAAAAATTAATAAAATATTTCTTAAAAAAATTCCATCTACCCTAATCACATGACCCACTATGGTTGAACGCTCACACTAGCCCCATCACCAGGGCAGTTATAATTTATTGTATGTACTGGCTCAGATTTTCACCCACTAAACTCAAGAGTTCCTTGAGAGTCAGGATCAAGTCTTTGAATCCCAACACCTCACATAGTCACATAACTGTGGCACGCAATGCAGGTTCAATCAACCTTGTCAAATAATTAATTGGCTGGTTGAACAATTCGTTCAAAGTGTTGAACATTATGCAAATGTAAATAGCTCCATGAAGGAGGCTACCTCTGTTCTGTCCACATCTGACTCCAGAGCACCGAAAACACTCAACAAGCTTTCACGGATGGGCAAGTATGGTCACTCGTGTCTGTGTAGGGTACACACGGTCTCTACAGACAAAATTTTATCAACACAGTGAGTGTCCTGCAAGTATCTCAAGGATGCTTAGGGCTGCAGGAAGTACCCCAGGGGCTATTTAATTCACATTCTCACGTCTTGGTTACAGAAGAGCAGGAGCTTTCTTTGTACCCAGATCCTCCCTCTGCTTGTCCATTTTACTGGTGAGGAGTGAACTTCAGGAACAAGCAGTGGTACGTATATCTTCCATGATGAACAGAAGAATAAGAAATAGAGTTTTTCAGCCTCCAACCAATAAACAAAGCTTACTTATTCAGGATGGAATTTTATTTGCACGTCAAGATCTATCGAGCCAGGATATGAGGGCCATGTGAGAAGAGGAGAAAAAAAATAAATCCCAACCACCACCACACTGGCAACAGAACACATTTTCACAGGTTAGCCATAAAGCGAGGCATTCTTCCTTCTTGCCTCAAATTTTTGGCACCACCAAGGGACAATTTTCTGAAGGACTAGAAGGGACGCGGGAAGAGGACAATGATAATATGTGGGTGGGGTGACCGTAAACACTGGAAGAGGCTGCGTGCTGCTAGATGCTACTCAGAGGCCTGATATTTCAAGGAGCCCTGAAGCAGGGTTTCCTGCCTGTTTGCTTCCTGGGTCTGTTTCTCTCTTTCCTTTTTTATTGAAAGGCATATTTTCCTATCCATTAAGATTTATGGTTTTCTGCCAACTACTTCGCTGGAACAAGTTTCCCCTTTAACTTAACAACGCACCTATTAGACTGTAATGTACCCATAAAAACTTCTCTTCAGATAGTGCTCACAAAATGCATTTCTTTAGGACTCAAGACGGAGAGAAATATAGTCTCATGAAATTTGGAACCGAGTAGCTCCCACTTGTTAACTAGGTGAATATGTCAGGCCATCGTCATATCACGAGAAAGTCACATTCAATGAAGTCAACATCTCCCAGTTCTAACAACCACAAGACCTAAGGGTTTTCGAGAACAATAAGACTGTCACTAATTTTTCTGGCTCATTATATCCTCTGTATGGCTTACCCGTTAGCTGAGCTCCAGGAAGTTTTCATCTTCATTTTCCCATCGTTGCCAGACCCATGGACTTTGTGGCATTTGCCATAGCACTCTAAAAAAAAAAAAGGATCAAAAAAGGGCATTTAAAAAGAGAGAAAATTTCTTAATCATGCTTTCATAACTTTTAGTGAACAGTTGGTTTAAATTTCCAAACAACTCTTTTCCAAAGGACAGTATCAAAACACATGCAAAAAATAAAAGTCTAAATAAAGCACAATAAATTATTTCACTGCTAAGGGATTAGATTTCAAAGAGAGAAGTACACATAAGGATATGAGAGTGGACTATATTGGATCTCTGGGAATTGCTGTCAGATATTGATGAAAACAGAGAGACTGTAGGAGATCAGATAAAAGAGAGAAATGATTACATTTGGAAGAACAATGTGAAATTCGTGGCCAACAGAGATTTCACATGTAAGCTAATAGCAATCCACGAAAGAACAAAGTTGGAGCGAGTCCCACATCTTTAACCACATTTACAATCATTCAGCATCTGTAAAAATTTCTACATAGCATTTTTCCTCATTTCAAAATTTGCAAAATACCTATTTAATAGGTTTAGCATGTCAGTCGGTAATTTCGTCCATGGGCAGTGAAAAGGATTTGTGTGTGTGTTTTTTCAAACTAGTTGGGTTTTGCTGCCCTTTCGGCTCTGCCCCCAGCCAGCTGCAATCGCAGGCTGGTTCGCAGCCCAGAGATGCTGTAAACAATGTGTTCTGTACATTTCAGCATCCACGCTGGTGAGAAGACGCCTCGTCTTCTACTTTCATCTTCTCTCCCCCAAGATTCACACCCCCTCCATCTGGGACAGAGAGAGTCCATTTTCAACTTGCTTACTGTCCCCTTTATCTTCCCCATGATCACCAAAGAGCAACTGGTGGTAGAAAGGTTTTCCTCTCTGATAGAGGAGTATTGACCGTTATGTTGGAAATGATCAAAGATGACTCAAACTGAAACAAAACCCGAGGAATAAAAATTGAAAAGCCAGCAGGGACAGTAACTGGGGGATTGAGTCGGGTCAGCCCTCCAGAGGCGGGTGGTCCTGTCCCCTTCGCGATGATGTCATCGTCTCCAGATAACCTGAAGTGGTCCCAGCGTGAGCAGCCAGTAGTCTGGTTCATTTCAGCTACATAGATGTGACTTCATTACATGATGCAAGCTTTCCAAATTGCTCCCAGTTGCATTCTGTCCTTTTTTCCCTATCCCCTAGTTGTCTGTATTTGAATCAAGTGAACAATTAAAAAAAAAAGATAGTCGATATCAAAGGCATGTTAGAAGAACAGCATCCTGAACCAATTAATTAATAGTATGGATCCTACCCTCATATCTGAGTGTCTGTTACGGCACAGATTTGCTTCAGGAGGGAGCATGAACACCCCAATTATGGGTCATGAGCCCCTCAATGATAGCCGATTGGTTTTGGATTGGAAACTTTTCCTATCTTTGTAGGCAACTGAAAAAAAAAATACAAAAAGAAACTTGTTCATGAAAACTTCTCCATGCTACCCAAATTTTACTATAATGTATAAGCCCTAAACTGATTGGACATCAAAACTTTGTTTGGTGTTACATAAATGGGGATTCGGAAAGCGTTAGCAGCCTGCTCATGTCATCTGCCATCTCTGACACCTCCATATTTACTCCATGTGTATGTGACCCTCTTGTCCAGAACATTCGGAACAGAGAAACTATGGCTTGCGATTGAATTACAAAAAGAAGGATGTGTACATGGTGGGACACGGAGAGATCTCCTAGTAGGAAGAGTTTAAGAAGGGGGTGTATTTTCTCAATTTGCTTTCTCAGACACGAAGCCTTCCCAGTTCCACTGCAAGTAGAAAACATAGCTAACAGTACCGCCGAATTCTTCAAGAATTCATATCTGTTGGGACTTTTCAACAATATCCCCAGGACAGATTCTTGAATTTGCTTCAATCTTGATTACAGTCTACACAATGAACAAAAAGTATTTCTACACAATGGCAAATCCTAGCTGAAAATAACATTGTTTTAGTTTAGGGGGAAACTTTTTTTTTTTCAATAAAGCCTCCCACTTTGTATTTTGAAAGAAAAAAAAATATGTACTGGAGAGAATTGGTGTCTTCGTCATAACAAATCGCATTTTCATCTGGGACAATGTAGGCACAGTGACGAAGATATGGGCACAACAGCCTCTTGGTTACATGTCATGCGTGTCTATGATGGATGGATGTCTAGCTCTTTGGATGTTTTTCCTTCTCCAAGTCTCTCATCACATTCTTGTTTCCAGGAATCCAAGAGTCTGGCCTTGTGGTTAGTGGAGGTGCTCCGAGGGGAGACCCCAATCAATCGCTTAGTAGCTGTCGGCTTGGCAAGTTACTCAGCCTTCTTGAGCCTCAGTTTCCTTATCGATAAAAAGTAGTGACAACATTTCTTCCAAAATTGTTGTGGAATTGAGACAATGTGTAGAAGTTCTTCACTCCCTGCCAAAAATATGGTAATTGCACTATATTTAATATTACATTGGCAGAGTTTTGAGAACAAGAGAATGATTTTCTGCTGCTTTTGGCATTCTGGCTAGGAGAAAAAAAAACCACACAGCCTTTTAAAACGAGGAAACCCCTTTTCCTCGCCCCAGGACAACACCCTCAGCCAACCAGCTTGTAGTTACTGACCTCTTCCTATACCCGGTCAATGGGTTATTACTCTTCAATCAAGTACCTTCAACCTGCTCTCCTCTGAAACCCACCCACCCCTCAGTGGTCTGAGCGCTCCATACCTTCATGGGCAGGGCTTTATTCCAATGTTTCATTTTATTTCCACTCTACCCTTATGACCACTCCTCGAATCCAAGTTTATTATCACAGAGCTATTATTGTTGCACATCAAATTCCAAAGAAAAACAGCATCAGGCGATTTCGTTTCACTTGACGTATTATCAAACAATCAAAGACACAGGTCTAACCAAACACGTGTCCTCAGTCTGTGAAGACATGCCCTCAGGTTGACCTGCAAATTTGGTTTCATAGCACCGGCTCCTCTAAGAAAAAGAAACAAAATAAGAACAGAATGTCCCCGCTGATTACCTCTGAAGAACCTCCCTCATGCGGTGGAGATGTGTTCAACTATAAGAGGTTTTTTAAAATGGATCATTTTAGTGGGTTTCTTATTCATAATTTGTCTGGTTTTATTCACTTTAACGATGAGCTAGATGAAAATATTCAGCTTTCAAAGTTCATAGGTATCAGTTTTCTATTCCTATATAAAAAAATTCCTATTTTCTATTCCAAATCTCAGTGACTTAAAGGGGGACCATTTTAGTCCTCTTACTTGCTCATTATTCTACAGGTCAGTCATGTGGGCTGGGTTCGGATGGGGTCATGTATATGTCCCAGTGATGAAATTGGGGCCTTATGGACTGATTAGGCCTCACTGGTACGTCTGGAAATGGGTGGTCATAGTCAGCAGGATAGTCTGGGCTGGTAGCAAGGCCCCAGAGATCAAGAGTAGAAGCTGCAAGACCTCTATGGACAGGTTCACATGCCACCACTTCTGCTGCATCTGTCGGTTAAGGCAAATCACATGGCCAACCCCAGAGTCATGCATACACAGAGAGGAATTATAGCAGCCAGGTTGCAAATAATCTACCACACCACATAAACCTTTATGAGAGTAAATTAAGCCATAAACCTCATCTTCCTGATTCGTTTAGCTGACTTTTAGTCTATACTGGGATCAGGTACCAGTGATACAAGAGGGATGGATAGGGTGTCCCCCAAAAATGTGTACACACACTTTGAATACATTTCATTTTCAAAATTGAGCTATCAGCTGTTAAAGTGTGTAGCTATTTTGGGGGGACACCTTGTATATGGCTGATGCTCTAAGGAATTTCATCTCTGGGTGGTGAGTGGCTCAATGATCCTGTGATGTGGTAACTTGTGTTTGGTTGAACTGATGAATCTGGTCAGATAACCCAGAGATGTGTGCCATTCATCACAACACAGATTGAACAAGAAGACTTCTGTGTGTTGTTTATAAACCCAACCTCATTACAACAAATTCATAGAGACAAGCAAGTCCTGAAATTTTTTTTTTTCTTACCAGTGGTCGGCAAACTCATTAGTCAACAGAGCCAAATATCAACAGTACAACAATTGAAATTTCTTTTGAGAGCCAAATTTTTTAAACTTAAACTATATAGGTAGGTACATTGTTATTAACTTAATTAGGGTACTCCTAAGGCTTAGGAAGAGCCACACTCAAGGGGCCAAAGAGCAGCATGTGGCTCGCGAGCCGCAGTTTGCCGACCACAGGCTTAGACCAAGTTAATTATATTATCACACTTAAATGATAGCACAGGTTTTTGATCACCATTTGAGGCAGATTAGGGTAGTGGTTAAGAGCTTGGCTATGGAAAATCATCATCATCATCATCATCATCATCTCAATATCCTCACTATAAAATAGAGGCTATACTTTAATCATGCAATTATATTGTGAAATATAGAAAAGAAAATGGACAGTGTCAAAATCTTAGTTTTCATACATAACAGTGTTGTTTTACAACTAGGGAAGAAAAAGAACCTTCTTTCTAAAATGTTTGAGTCAAGATCCAACATTTAAATTCACTCAAGTGTCCACAGTTTCTCTGTTTTGCCCTCTGCTCTTCAAGAATCTTGGAAAACTAAACAAACATTACTATAAGGAGACTGCAGACATAGCATACTGGTTTAAATTAGGAATCCACTTTCTTTCCTTGAAACCATTTTTTTACCAGACACAACATAAAGTAAGCGTGTGTGTGTGTGTGTGTGTGTGTGTGTGTGTGTATTCACTAGGATGGTAGCAAATAACTCCAGATTTTCTTTCTTTCTGATAAAAACTCAGCTTTTTGTAATGGATTTTTTGTTTTAGTCCCTCACTCCCCAGGAGGTATTGAGCATGGGATTATGGGAAGAAAGAACACCTACTTGACATACCCTGAATTCATTCCAGCGTGAGGCTCCGCTAATCCAGAGTCCAGCACCAACATTCATGATGTCAGAAGGAAGGCCCTCTTTCTGTGTTTTCA